TCCACAAGCCGAACATTTGCCATCTCTTGGACAAGTGACTTCACGGTGTAAGGACTGTTCTGGTCCATATCCACAATCCAATACCCAGTGTCATGATGCTTAACATTTCCTGAAACATCGTGGAATGTCCTGTCTGCATGCTGTAACAACACATTTAAAATATTGCATGTCATGGCAAATTCCAAATCGAGGAATAAGAGCATTACAGTTGAACACTGTCCATCGTCTGAGGTATATGTGAAACAAACAATGTTGAGGTCTAGTGCTTAAAGCCTAACATTTAATGAAATCCTGCAATGATCATTAATCTTAAAATAAAAAATCTATCAATATAACGATAAGCAATTGCCTAAAGTATTGTGCATATCAAATATCTCAGACAATGGGCAATGTTCAACATAATATTAATGTAATAAATTAATCACTGTTACAGACCTTTAAAGAATCAAACAATACCTCGGTAGTGAAAGTTTTCAAATACCATTGATTTTTCACCAAGTAAAGCACCGAACTTCTGTAACCTCTTGTTTAAAATAACACTAACATTCATTCTGTTCCTCCAATTTATGCGAAGCTCTCTGGATACACAGTAACCTTAGAAACAGCAATATCATTTCCTGTAATGGCCAACTGGAAAACTGCTTTCTCAAAAATAAACTCAAAACATTCACAAAGATGGATGTCTTCTGGGTTTTATGCACTACACAGTATGGTAGAAATTTATCAATGTTTTCAGACTACACAGGACAACATAACAAACCCCCCCCCCCCCCCTCCCAAAAAGAAAAACAGCCATCTTCATACTCACCACCATAAGAACCTGAAATCTCAGTTGATGAAACACTAAATTCTATTTCCAGAAGTGTAATTCAGTAGATGGCTGTCTTCTGGGTTGCTGTACCATGTAGTCTGGTAGAAGTTAACCAATGTTTCGGTGGTCATTTCTGCTCCCATCATCAAGTTGCAATCACCCTGATGATGGAGGCAGCAAGGACGTCAGTAAGCTTCTACCAGACTACATAGCACAACAACCCAGAAGACTCACTGACATGAAAACTTAAAATCCTACCTAAATTTTCAGTAGCCACTCCTTTAAAGGATTTAGCAGATTTCATTGATAAAAAATAAACAGCTGCATTTTTTGGAACAGTCTTAGCTGTCAAAAAATACTAAGCTGCCACTCCTACAGTCAATAAACACTATTAAAACAACAAAAATTCTTCCTCATTTTTTTTATATTCTGCCTTCCCCTTTGGGATTACTAGACTACAAATTACCAATGTCCTTCTCCACCTACTGTAACACATGGACCTAATTTAATACACGTTGTTAATATTCTTTTCTATTAATCTTCTGCATACTCTTTCACTTCTTGTGTTCGAGATGAACCTTATAAAGCTTACGGCTATCATGAAGCGCTGTGGAGCAGGTGCTGCTGGGTCTGCAGAATATGGGAATCCCAGAGGAGTTAGGATAAGCAGACCAACTGCTATCAAAAACAGCCCACTCAGGAGACTCAAGATTCTCTCTGGACTTTTCACCAGTAAAATGAGGGGAACCTGCAGGAAGAACACATCAACACTGTGTCATAATTTGGCTGACTTTTCTTATCATAAAGTATATTTTTCACAGCACCAGTTAAGTCTTATTCAGATTAACGCTTTGGTATAATTTGCAAGCACAATATAACGGCCCATTTTGTGTCCACAGAATGCTGTTCTAGCAGAACACTGGCTTTGGCAAGATTGCCATATTCTCTTTAGATGAGCAAAAGAATGACAACATGGGAAATACAGAACCACATCCAATGAATCATCACAAAATATATCTCATAACATGGTCATAACTCCAAAAATACAGTAACACATGAACTGTGTCCAAGTATAACAGCAACTGTATAATAATGTAATGATTACTGCTTTGAAAATACATCATATCAATATACTTAAAGATACGTGGGTTTCTATGTATATCACAGTTGCCAAATATATATTTTCCCACAAATCACTAAACTTTGTTTGATTTAAAATAAAATAAATGGCAAAGAGTATCTGGGTCCAGTTTGTCTCCTCATTCCTATGCCAGTCACAAATTCAGTGTTTGACATCTGCAGAGAATGAAAATAGAAAGTGGGAGAGAATATTATCATATTTCAAGAAGTTAAATTTTTAATTTAAAAAATAATTACCCTCAGTTAATTCTGGCACAAGACATTGCTCTTTTTAAAAAAAATCATCTAATCCAGAGGTTCCCAAACTTTTATACCTTGCACCCCCCTTAAAACATTTCATAAATTTCACGCCCCCTCTTCCAGAACTAGTGCAAGCAAACAGATTTTTCATAAAATTTAGCCACGAGTACACATTTTTTTATAATTTAGTATATATTATTCAATGCATTTAATTTTAAAAACTGTAATAAAATATACGCTTCATATCTGGATTAGTGGGACGGGTCCCTAACTGTACGTAGACTTATATTGCCGTTTACTTCATAAAACCGCTGATGCTCTACGAGTCTGAATTCTACAGCACTGTAAGACAACTAAACTGTTTCAACCAAGCAAAGGATGTTAAAAATGTTTCTCTCCATATTTCGTTAAAAAAAGTTTTTCATACAAACACGCCCCCCAGAAAACAGCTCGCGCCCCACACTTTGGGAACCTCTGACCTAATCATTAATGTCACCATGAATCACAACTCATCATGAGAGGCCTAGATTTAATCACAGTTCAATATATCATGTGGGGAAATGAGATTACATTATGGCGTATTTTCCCGTGTACATTTCTTTGAATACACTAATAATCATTTTACCAAATACTTCATATCCATCTGTTCCCAAAAGATGTGTGACAGGCCATTTAACACATTATCAAGACCTTTAATCTCAACTTAAACTTTATCTCTGACCAATGTTAAGAAAGTTTCTCTCTGCAAAAAGTGTCAATACTTACAATGCATGTAAACAGCAAACCAAATTTTATTCCTACGAGAAGACCAACAATTACTTCTGAATTTGTACCGGCCCCACTGCGACCCATAATTGGAACATACAAAGACATGGCAGCCAGAACAAGGTACAGACACTGGGTGAATGGTAACGTCAGGGCAGCCACATGCAGCATCAGCCATTTACCACCTGATGCAATCAACAAGCAATGTAACAACTTGTAAACAAATCCTTCTGTGTATATTTTATTAAATAACCATCCCTAAACAACAGTAAATCTGGTAAATTTGTGCACTACTTTATTAACTCATATCTAGGCACTTACTGTAATGACAATATATTTTGGGGATACAAGTTCAGTTTTGGGTCTTCAGCTATATTTTCACAAAGTATCTCACTGTTTACTGCTGTCAATAGTCCTAATGATAAAGAAAGCAGCAAGAACCTCTGAAAAAGTGGTATACTTCTACCAGACTATACAGCACAACCCAGAAGACAATCACCTTCAGAATGAACTTACACAACTGTAATTTTATGTGAATATAATGCTGGACCTTTGGATTACATTTAATAAGCAGTAGAAAAGGTGAGGGATTGACAAGAATATCTAGTAACATAAAGAATTTTGTCTATTTTAATTCTGCCACAAATTTCCTCCCAGATAGTTCATATTTATCAAATAGACAATAACAACATAAATTACATTACCTCTCCAATGTCTTAATACTGTTGTTCGAGCAAAGTTCTCGACAATTGCAAAAAATATCCACAGCAACGCAATGAAACCACTTCTAATTTGCAGCACAGTGCATGTCAGCAAAATCAGTATCCACATGATCTGATACCCATCACTGTACAGCTGGAACAGAGTCCATGCTGAAGTCGCCATCTGCAACAGAATGCACCGTCTACTGAAGGTGAAATCGAACATCTTGGCTGGGTAGCGTTCTAGCTAACAGCTATCTGATACTTAGAAAATACCATTATACATCCTGTGGGTTCAACCATAAAGTAAACCTTTCCAGTTCTGTATTCTCACACTGGGCTATAAAGTAAAGTAAAGTTTGTCCCACTGTACGCCATGTAGGCGCTTGGGGAGGAGTGGAGGTATAGCTCCTCTCTTCCTTGACCTCAGCACTAGATGGGGGTGAGTGGTCAGCATCACGCCCCGGCCGGCTTTATCCCCGGAGAAGGACCCCGGTACCCATTGTAGAGGAGGCTGGGTGGGCCCCAGAGCCGGTCTGGACGCAGAGGCTAGAGGAAAAATCCTCTGCCCCCGTCGGGGATCGAACCCCGGTCGTCCAGCCCGTAGCTAGTCACTATACTGACTGAGCTATCCCGGCTCATCACACTGGGCTATAGCATACTTTTACTTCTGTAAGACACTAGAGAAAGCTGTTAACATTTTACTAATTTGTTGGACATAATTGTTTTCCCCCGTTATGATACAAAGTGTATGCTGTAAAAGAATGCCTGATAACAGTTTCGTACGGCACGTGAATTTACAAGTGCTTAACCTTTAACATTCATACATCACGTCTTATGCAGAGTCCAGTTCACATCATTCCATAGCACAGTTCTGACATGGGGAGGGGGTAGCTGAATGGGTGACAGAGGACCCTTCCATATAGAACCAAGTCTTTATTACTGAAATGTTATCAGTTTGTTCCTTTGATCTTAATACTGTGTTATCAAATTATCTACTTGTTTTATCATACATTACATGTCCAATTCTGATATGTTCTTAATCCATTAAGCCATGTTCTTTTATCAATATAATCAACAGTTTAATGAAACTGGAAGTTATGTGACTTAGCAAATGATCCCTCCTGATGCCCAACCTTGCAAAAATACAAGGCTATAACACAAAATAATTCTGCTACATTTTAGCAATTCACTACTGCTCAGATCTGCTGGACAGTAAAGAGACATGTCATATAACAGTGTTGATCCAAATAAACACTTGCCACAGCATAGATTTCTTTGAAGTTTCTAAATTCACTAAACTTCTACAAGTGAGCTCTGCTAGGTTTGTCATGATCCAATCTGTCCAATCTTACCAGCTGGTTCCCTATTGCGTGTATGCACAGGTATGTAAGGATATGCGTCTAACATGCAAAAATATATTTTCTTTGATATTTTCTGCATTTTTATCTTGGGCAGAGAGGCTTCTCTTATAATAGTGCAATTATGTTGGACATTCTCCATTGTCTGAAAAGCATTTATACAACTGGGGCTCTAATGATGGTGTGTTACATTTAACACTGCTGTTTTTCTGAACTTGAGTCATCGTTCAGTAATCTAAAACAAGACCATTATGTTTTGGGAGCAGAATTCCAATTCTTGTACCAGGGTAATGGAATTAGCCCTTTCTTTGGGACAAAACTGAATAGGTATTTTCACCTGAAGACAGGAGGAGAGCCAGCTTCTGAAATGTATTGGTCTTGTTTTAGAATATCTAACTATGGATCAAGTCCAGAAAAAACTGCAATATTGCTGCTAATCTAAAAAAGAAGAAACATCTATCAGTATAATGATAACCTAAATGCTGACAATAAGAATACAGCAAACTTACAAAACGTGCATGTTAAGTACGCCTCAGAAAATGGACTACGCCCTACATTTACATGCCATTTTTACAAACATTACAAAATGGTATTAAAATATATTAGAAATTAAAATTTTTTTGCCGTCAATCACAAATATAATAATGTTAAAAGATTAAAACATCATTTAATGTTCCCCATCGAGTACTCGATTACAATAGGAACTTACATGACTAGTTTCGGCTATAATTTAGCCATCAACGGGTGTTATGTGGTTTAAACTTTATCACTGAATTACTGATTTTAATTGTTTTTATGATTTAAGTCTTCATTTTTTCTGATGATGTTCTTGTCCTTTTTTATATCTTCTTTCGTTGTATTTTCACAGGTCACTATTAGGTGTGTATTACGTATTTTGTAGTGACGTCAATATTTTGTGTAGGACCAAGAAGTAATATCGCAATTGATTATAAAAGAACGGAGATGTACATTATTATATTTGTGATTGACGGCAAAAATTTTTTAATTTTTAATGTATTTTAATACTTAAGAATCACAATATGACGCATTTACAATATCTTATGTATTACAAAATGGTTAAATTTCTCACATATTATCTAGTTTTATAGGACAGTTCGACAATTATGGCACAGCATGTAGTATTAGGATTGGCAGTAAGAGGCCTAACACAAACACAAATAATAAAATCTACCTTTGTTCCTAGTTTTCCTTTCTTTATTCATGCAAGAATGACAAGGTCTGCCCCACCTCATTAATCAGAATAGATTGAAACTGTTAAAGAGTTGCCTTGTACAGCAAGAAATATTATGTTTAATAATAAACAAATGGAATATGTGAATGGTGCAAAAGCATTTAATGTAGTGACTGCTGGCTGACAATTCCGTCAAAGTTCCGACCATCCTCGAGGAATGCAAATGAAGGCCAACACCATTTTTTGTTCACTTCCAGTCCCCATCAAGTTTATAAGCTGTTATTCTTGCATGCACATGAGGAACTGAGGATAATGCTGACAGATATAACATTGTGAACAGTACAAGACCTAACATATCACACAACATGGTAGTTACTTACAGATCTTTGCCAGCGAGACACTACCAACACGAGAACCATGGGTACAAAGAGTGTGGGGCAAATATATAAGAAGAAAATCCACACAGGGCGTGCGAACCAACTCATGGAGCGGCCCAGAGCAGTGAGAGTCAAAGCTATTAGTAAGTTGGCCAGCAGAATTAACAATAAGGAGCCTATGGCCACACTACTTGAGATCGCCAGTTGCCGCACATAAGCTGCATATTCCATATCTGGATCAGAGAAACCACAAACCATTAGCTTCATGTTATTACAGATTAGAAGCACAATAGAGAAATTTATAAAGTAAGAAGGTAGGAATCCAAGGGAAGTCAAAGCCAGCTTTAAAATTCAAGACTGGTTTGTCTTGCAGGCACTTTCTTTCCTGGACTGCTTAAAAATATGACACTGTGATTAAAGGTCAGATTTTCAGAAATGTAACAATAATTTAGTGACAGTACATAATAATACCTCAACCTGCAGAAATGTGGTGCCACATAAAATACATATAGCCTGTAAAACAAACTTTGAACAACCTACAATTATCACGTAAACATACATACTATGGTGTAACAAAACACAGACGTCCATCCATCATTGTTCTCATATTCATCTGCATTATGGTATATCAACCAAATCTCCAAAAGACTATTTTTAACCATCACAAAATTGTGATAGTTATGAAAAGGTTCAAATACTGGCGTACTGGGCATATAAGTGATATTCGAAACCAACACAATTTAGAAAATAGTGTACATTATGCCACTGTCACATGTGGAATAAAATAATTTTCTTATTAATAAGTGAACTGTGCAGTGTCAGCATTCAGAAAATACAAAAAGTGACTTATCAGAAAATAAGTATAATTTCACACAAATTCTAGCATGTGTTATGGATAGCGCATGTTATTTTCTATAGGGAACAAACCTAACAGGATGAGAAGCACACTTGGCGGAGGAAATCGGGTGACGCGTCAATTCTTTCTAGCATGTCCACAGCGAAGTTTGTGCATGCTACTTGGTCAGTCGGTTTTAGCGCATGAATCATTTAAATCTTGTACACTCTTAGGCGAAGCCTTTTGTGTAGCACATCGTGCACTGTTGAACGTGGAATTTGTAACTGCAAGCTAGCAGCACGAATTGATTTGCGTGGACTTCGCTGGAATGCCTCTCTAATGCGACTGACATTTTCTTCAGAGGTTGCCAAATACCCGTAGGTTAGGCTAGTTTAAGGTAATATATTATAAATCAGTTGGTGGATGCTGGCAAAATTCCAGAGCTGCTAACCTCACTCACTGCTGTGCCTGTGTACTAGTTTACTAAAGTTTGATATCTACCCATACCCCGGGCTTTGACTCGTCTGTCTTTGCACATGCATGAAAACAGAATCTGAATTTGAAACTCACAGGACACAATGAAGTAAGCTGAGTGTCTCACCTCTTGTTACAGAAGTCTTCATAGTTTTGAAGAGGCAAAAGACTGATACAGCCACAGTAAGACTATTGATGAGGAGGCCTATGCCTTCAGGCCAGCGTATCACAAAGGCACCCAGGAAATCAAAGAACACCAGATTGCCAGATGCATATTTTTCTGTGTTAGCCATCTTATCATTATTAGCAATGGCCAGAGTAAGTGCCAGGATATTTTCTCCTGTCCTCTGCAATGTGCCAAGAGGAATTTGCCTCACATTATCAAACTTGGTGTGATATACATAGCCATTTTTTGACCATGCAAAATCAAGTCCTAAAATGAAGAGAGGCATTAGAATAAGTTCATACAACACTTTATGACAACAAAGAGCATCAGTATGGTCTCAGCACCTGAAACATGTCCAAAATCCCGGAATATTCTGAAATCTGTGTCACCCGGAATAACTCCACTCTGAAAGATTTCTTGAGCCAGTGAGGAGGCATACGGATATGGAACAGACTCTGAATAGATCTGAAAGCACAAAATGGGTGACAGTCAATTCCTTTCTTGGTTCAATTTCACTACAAAGAAATTCATATTAAGGTTTACCAATTTTCAGAAGGAATATATATGGCATCTAGTTGTAACAAACTTCAATGGATCCTGAAAACGTTCCCATTACACATAACTTAAAAATGTCGTTGCTATGAAACAAATCATGCCAAATTTTTACAGATGTAGCACAAGTTTACCACCATGTTGATACCTACCTACTCCAACCTAACCTAACAAAATCAAACCCAATGTACAAAATGTAACATACCATAATCTAA